CTACAGGGAGGGCCTACCTAAAAGAAAAAAAAAAAAAAAAAAAAAAAGAATCCTGAAACACATGAAAGTTAATTGCAACACGTGACATGATGTGGATGTTTGGGTTTGAGTGTGTGTGCCTGCTAGGGATGGACCTCTGGCTTTTGAGCATGCTAGGCAAGAGCTATACCACTGAGCTGCATGACCAGTCCTTAGTTTGATCTTTTTGTTCTTTGTTGTTTTGAAATTGGATCTCCTTAGTTAGCCCAGGCTAGCTTCAAACTCAAGCTTCTCCTGCTTCAGTCTTGTAATTGTTGGTATTACAGGTATGTCACTATACCCAGCCCTTCATCTGCTCAGGATTCAAATAAACAGTGTGCAAAATTGGCATGTGGAAGCCACTTGAATGAACATTCACTTTGCTGAGAATGAGGAATTTGTATTCGTATTTCTATGCTACTGTTATGACTTAATATTTAGACATAGCATTGAGATACCAAGGGATGAAATAATATATAAAAATGTTTTATAAGAACATGCAAAGTGAGTAGTAGGTGGGATTATAGAAGAAACAGATTCTAAAGTGATACTTTTTTAAACTGGTTGCTGGGGGCCAGAAAGATGGCTCAGCCTGATCACCTGAGTTACATCCCCAGGACTGCCAGCAAGCTGTCCTCTGACCTCTGCATAGGCACTGGGGCACACACCTCCCATTCCGCAAATAAATGTTATGAAACTGGGTGATGGGTTGGGGTTTGACACATTATTTATATTTTCACAAATATTTGAAGTTGATTCTCCGTACTGCTTCAGCTCCGTAATCCTGAGTTTTGCAAGGAATGATTGTAAGCTAAAGCATAGTTACAAAAGAGAGCAACTGACAAATACATCATCACACTCTGATGCGAAGTCTTTTAGACTGAATCGGTCATAAAGCCGAGGGCACAGTTTGAGAACACTGACACATTTTCTCTTAAGTTTCCCCAAATGAAACCAATTTTTTTAATCATTAAAAAAAAAAAAAACAATTAACAAAAAAGTCCAACAAGGTGCTCAGTAGTTAAGAGCACTGGCTGTTCTCCAGTGCTGCTCTTCAAGAGGACCCAGGTACAGTTTACCAGCACCCACATGGCAGCTAACAAGTCAGTGACTACAGTTCCAAGGTATCCGACACCCTCTTCTGTTCTCCATGGGCACTGCACGCGTGGTGTACCAACATGCAGGCAAAACATTCATACCCATAAAATAAAAATCTTTAAAATGTACAACAAAATACTTATGAAATCAGGCAAGTCTCTTCCTCCATTACATGCTGAATTCTGAAACAAATGTGTTTGATCTTTGTACTATTTCAAAATCCATTTCTGCAAGATCTGATGGTATGACAGCAGCTCCTTTTCCACAGGGTTCAGTTGAACTGCTGGTTGAGGTCCAACGTTTTAGTGGCTGGTCCATTTGGGCTGCTACAACAAAATATCTGACAAAATTTATTGTTCACAGGCCTGGAAACTGGGAAGACCAAGATGAAAGGTTCATTCTGCTTCAGAGGATGGCACCTTCTAGCTGTGTCCTCAAGTGGATGAAAGAGCAAATAAAAGTCCCTCAAAGCTTCTATTAAAGGACAGGATCACATTCATAAAGGAGGCACCACTTCCCAAAGGCCCCACCTCCTGATACAGCTGAATGAGGAATTACCTTTCTATGTGAATTTGGGGAGGACACAGACATTCAAGCAGTAAATAGCTACTCACCTTACTCAGCCTGCAGTTCACAGAAACCTAGTTTCCCCAAATTATGAAACACCACAAACAGAAGAAAGACGTAACTGTCAAGAGAGTTGAATAGATTTTATTTTCTTGTCAAGTCAAAACTGAATAACCAGGATCTCCAATTCTTTCTATCTCAGGTGCTTTATGAACAGGAGCACATCCTCAGTTTGTTCAGCTCTGCTATGGTATAAGGGGATGTGGGCTTGGAAAATGGGATCAGGGCTCGAGCAGCACCAACAAAGCTGCCAACACACTCACTTGGTTTGCGAATCGTAACATTCCCTTCTTGAACGCAGAGTTTTGGTTTCTGCCACACCAGGACACTATTTCTTTTTAATACCTTTTCTTGAATTTGCTTTTGATTTAATACATGTATAAAGTACATTCTGACTACTGTAACTTGCTCATCTCTCTAATTTCCCCCTCACTTCTAAACTTCTCTCTTCCTGATGATTCCCTTTCAAACAATCATTATCTCCTTTGCTTTTTAATTTATTTTTCGGTGTTTGTGTGTATGTGTTTGTAACACAGCATAAGTGCAGAAGTCAGAAGACAACTTGTGGAGGATGGAACTCAGGTTGCCAGGTATAGCAGCAAGTGCCTCTAGCTGCTGAGTCATCTCATCAACCTTTGAGAGCCAGAGTTTAACCAGGATCATGTGTGATCATGGCTTTAGAACTATCTATTGCAGCCTGGCTCAAGGTGCTGAGAATAACAATTGAATGCTTAGTCCTAAATAGACTGTTACTGCTTGCTTTATACTGCACAGAACAGATCCTGATAGCATTGATAGCATTTGTATAATTCAGTTTTTTCTTCTTTAGCTTGATGACTGATGGACACTTGACTGCAAAGCACAAAGAAGTATTATTCTTAAATTACTAAGATCTAGCTCCTAAGTAATAACTAACAGGAGTAAAGTTTGCAAATAACACTTTAGTGAGAATATGTATTTGTAGATGGCCCCTTCCCTGTACCAAAATAGACAATAATGAAATGAAGTGTAGGATAAGTGTAGTCATGCAAGCAAACAGGGGCATTCAGGAAGTAGTTTTTCATTTTTAAAAATATTGATTTTAGCCAAGTGTAGTGGTGCATGTCTTTAATCCCAGCACTTGGAAGGCACAGGCCGGTGGACCTCTGAGTTCATGATCAGTTGAGTCTACAAGCCAATTTTATAGGACAGCAAGGGTTACACAGTGAGCTTGTTGCTAAAAAAAAATTGGCTGAGAATAGTATTTAAAACCATAGGTTT